CATCTGATGCACCTACATTGGATAATTGAAACCTAATTTTCTGCACACAAAAATGAATGCAGATTAATGCAGTTTAAATGCAGAAAAGCTATTTAAACCTCAATCTGCCTGAGCACACAGACAAAACGGGTGGAAAAAAACTTACATTGTCATTTTGATAGAGTACACGGGAAATGTTTTCTGCTAAATTACGGTCCAAAACTGCCTGAATATAATCACCAATATTAACTGTGAAAAGAAAACAACATCCGTCATTGAATTATTACATATGAATTCCAGTGGCACTTATTTCAGGTGTTTGACGAAATTGTAAATGTTAGGGCTACTAAAATTTAATTTGATATTTAATAGTCATTTTTAAATTAAATTAAATTTAATTTAATTCCATTTCAAATGGTTAAATTGACTGGTAATTTAATTTAGTAATTTATATTAGTTCAATTTAATATTTAACATTAATTAGTATCCATTTTGAATTGATAAATACTGGTTAAACTGAAAACAGACAAATAAAGAAAAATTAAGACAAATGCATTTTCTTTGTCTGCTAAATGACTAAATGTAAATGTAATATAAATGAATACTATGCACTGATTAATTTTTCACAATAAGACCAGGAAATGGGGTACATTTTAATTTTGAAGTTGACTTTATTAAAAAGATACTTTTATAATGTTTGTCTTGTATAAATGTCTGCGGTTAATATGGGTTGGTATTCTGTTGTGTGAATGACTCACAGTCTCGCAGGTTGAAGTCATTGGGTGCGCGTGCAGACCACAAGCGCATAGTGTTCACTGTGTTGTTCATGTATCCAGGGATTGGCGTGTCGTACGGCATGGCAAGGACCACCTATACCATTAACATGCATTACAAACCTGGCCACGGTACCGCTATCCTTTAAGTGTGTATTTATTCGTGTAACTCTGTTGATACCTGTGTGTCGACCCATTTCGGTTCCTTCCCATCCTCTTCGTCCACACGGCCGTAGAAATGCACTGGCAGCATGAACTCAGGACGGGCTTTCTCCCAGGGGTTACCGTACCTCAACCAATCATCCGCCTCTTCAATCTAACAGACAATGATACAGAGATGAAAGAGGACAACAGCAAACAGCTGCACTGGAGGACATAGTACTCAAATCTAGGGCAGGTTAAAGTTCAAGTGTGTGTATTTTTAAAAATGAGCATTTTCACTGCACAAACACACCATTATCACTTGTCCTTCTGCAAATAAATCGAGCCGCTGTTTCTTATCAACCTACTACTGCTGGCACGAGATCCCTATTGGTGCAGTATTATCAGCTCTGTGACAAGCTCACATGCACCAGGCCAGTGACCACAACGCAGTGGACTCCTGGCCCATTTACATTGATTTTTATGCAGACACAGTCCTACAAAGTATCGCAAATTGCAAAGTACCCAGAATTTTGTGGAAATGCAAAATATATATATTTTTGAAGATACATTTAGCATAAGTAGATAGAAAATATATATAAATTATAAGTAGTGCTGTCAAATGATTAATCGCGATTAATCGCATCCAAAATAAAAGTTTTTGTTTACATAATATATGTGTGTATACAGTGTATATTTATTATGTATATATAAATACAAACACATGCATTTATATATTTAAGAATAATAAGCTATGTTTATATATTATATATATTTATATATAATATAAAATATAATAATATAAATATATAAATGTATATACATGTAAATATTTTCAAAATATAAACTGTATGTGTGTGTATTTACATATATATACATAATAAATAAACACAGTATCCATACATATAGTATGTAAACAAAAAAGTTTATTTTGGACGTAATTAATCGCGATTAATCGTTTGACAGCACTAAATATAAGTAACTAAAACCTACAGAAAAATATATTTATTTAAATATATTTTTAAATCTATATTAGGAATATGTTTTGACACTTTTTGTACTCTGAAATATATTTAAAAATATATCTGAAAACATAAAAACATGTATGAGAAAATATAAGTAACTAAAATGTATCTAAAATATATTTATTTTAAAATCTTTATTAGTGATACATTTTGGCATTTTTGTATTCTGAAATATATTTAAAAATACACCACAAATGTTTGCTTTATGGGTCAGAACTACTATAATTAACTGTATTATGACATCAGAAGCTTGCATATGAGAAAGTTTTTTAATTAATAAATTAAGGGAATCTGGGTGAATTCACCTGCCAGCCATCTTTGATTTTCTGGCTGAAGATTCCATACTCATATCGGATCCCATATCCATAAGCAGCCAGACCCAGAGTTGCCATGGAGTCGAGAAAACAAGCTGTGGATCACGTACACACAGTAAATATTGCTAATTTATATTAATACGGTAAATTATTTGTACAGTATAGTGTATGTGTGAGAGAGAGCAAGAGAGAAAGAGAGAGACCTGCTAATCTTCCCAGCCCTCCGTTCCCTAATCCGGCATCTTCTTCCATCTCTTCCAGATCCTCCATATCCAAACCCAGCTAAAAGGAAAAAGAGAGATTTAAAGAAAGCCAGACGCACAGATGGATAGACAAGTGTTTAGTCCTCTCTCACCTGGTAGATAGCCTCATCACAGGCGTTCTGCAGACCCAGATTAATCATGGTGTTCTGGAGCGCCCTACCCATGTAGAACTCCAGTGACAGGTAATATACACGCTGAAGCACACAGAAATATAAACAATTTAAAAATCAAACAGAGCATTCTTGGAGTGTACATTGGGTGCAAATTATTTTCCATCACAAAAAAAAATATATAGTGATCTTACTTAAGCCGTGCATAACTAGACAAAAAAAAGTATGAATTTTCATAACTTTTCCCGGACTGGAAATCACAATAAGTTGCCTACTCTAAAATATTATTATTATATATTTTTTTTTAATAAATAAAAAATTATCTTATATATCCAGGTTTGTCATGACAGTCTGAACCCTGGTAATAATCACAAACAACTGGAACAAATACATTATTTGAATCCATAAAACTTACTTGTAATGCATTATATTTCAAATATTTAACCCTCATCCGTCCCACCCGAACCTATAACAAAAGTGTCCCTCGCGGGTCAAAATGACCCGAAGGTCAAAAATAACACTTATTTTATTTTTGGTCCAGAAAGCTTATATTGGAACATTTTTATAATTTTTTCCCTAATTTTTTATGTAGGTTTTTCTATTATTTTTTGATGATTTTTATCATATTTACCTTTTATTCTGGATATTTTTAAGAAAACATAAGCAAATAAGCAGTTTTTGTACATTATTTCACCAAAAAAAAAACAAAGAAAGACAGTCCTGTTTCATCAAAAACCAACAGATGGCCTTGGAATTGAGTCACTGAGTGTCTCTGATGCCATCTGGTGGGGAAAAATTACATAAAATTGCATTTTATGGTTACAGCCACTAGAGGGGCCTATAGAACCCTATCATGTGTGTGTGTGTGTATGTGAGTTTTTTCTGCATTGGGGATATTCTGTAGTCTCAGCCCTTCGTTTGGGTATAAATCTTTACTGGATTGTCTCAGATTTTGTATAGGCCTATCAAAAAAAAAATCTAATGTAATGAAAAATGCAGTTTTCTAGTAAATTCCATTAATTCTTTGCGGGTCAAAATGACCTGTGAGGGACACTTTTGTCACTTTTTTTATTGCACCCATTTAAACTCCTCGAATCCACTCAAATTGTTTTGTGTGTATTCCCGGTGCAAGTGTGACAGAAGAAAAGAAATCTTGGACCGGTACGATCAACACACGATTTTTAGAATTTTTTTGAAAAAACTTGTTGGGTCAAAATGACCCGAGGGACGGATGAGGGTGTTAAGCACCTGACTTAATTATCCTAACCGACAGCTTCACTACAACCTGTTAATCTCATAATAATTAAAAGTGAAAAAAAAAAAACTTATTTTTTCGTATTGGTAAAACCATTACCAATATGTCATCGTGAAAATATCTCTTATATTCCAATAAAAGGGTACTCTGTTAACGTAATACAAATCAAATTTTTCCAAATTACATTTCATTTCGATAATACATTTTTGCTGTGGCAAAAAGTTTCAAACAAATTTACCACGTGACTTCTTTAAAGTAAACCGGACTCACCTTGGGGTCGGCCTCATAGTAGAACTGCTGTGTTCGGATCCAGCGGCCCACCAGGTGATCACGCACCGTGTGCGCGAGCGCGAAATAATAATCGCGCGGCGTCGCGACGTTCCTGTCTTTGACCAGCGTGAAGTGCAGGTGCCGGTTAAAGCCCTTCTTCAGCTCTGCCACATTCTCCACACCGACGATCCCTCTGATGCTGATCTGCTTCCGCTTCTCCTGGTCCGTTAGAGGAGTCGCCATCCTGAAGATCACCGGCTACACCGAGCACCGGGGGTCACGAGCCTCATATTTTTATAGGAGGCACCGAGGGAGGAGCAGAAAGTCTCTCTCTCTCTCATTGGACTTATTGAACTTTTTTAACCATGGTAAACATACAGTATATGAATCAATGACTTGACATTAAAAATACATAATATTGCAGCTAACACAGTCACTTGAATACACATCTTCTATGATGAACATGTTTTCAGTTTTTTAATTAAAATTAATTTTGATATTTTTGTAGGGCTTCAGTCAAAAATGTCTCTCAGACCTAAGATTTTTGAAAAATGTAATAATTAAATTACTATTGCTTCTTAATAATATTGTAACTGTAAAGTCATAATTAAATTATTTAAATTATATAAACCACATAACTACAAAGATTTAAAACATAAACAGTAATAAAAAGATTTGCCGTTGCAAATTTCCACAAACTATTTTGGAAGGGAAATGACAGAAGACAGTTTTATATTGCACCTAATCCAGTTTATTGAGCATAGAACTTTACAGATAACAACAATTCAGACACAATAGTAGTAATAATAATAATAATACATTTCTTATATTGGGATTAATTTATGAAAAAATACAATTTACAATGGGTGAAATTTTCCCTCACTGCACCCAAACATTCAATTGTTTGTTGAGCAAAACCATCTGCTCAACAAACAGATAAAGTACAGCACTTGCCCCATATTTTAACCCCACCAGTGGGATTTTAAATATTTTTCTTAATGCAAAAGTACATCCTTTACAGTAAACTAATAGCCAATGCTTCAAGCAGCTACAATGTATGCTGTCTTGTTTAAAGTTGTCTCTCTTTTGGATTTGCAGCTCTACTCTTTAATATTGCAATATTTTCTCACATTGAACATAAGCAGCACCAGTTATTTGTTTAGCATTTGCGTTTAGCTTGTGCGGATTTGAGGCAGCAAAGGAGAAATAAAACAGAGAGAGAGAGAAACAAAAACTTTATTCATTCTCATCTCTCCATAATACGTTACGCAAGGCTATGAAAATGCCTGTGTATGTGTATGTGTGCATGTATTTGTCCCAATTAGTGTTTTCTATTCTGTTCAACAAACAGAAAGCCATTACCTCCTCACTGACACACATTCAGCTCATTCTGGCATTGTCTAATATGTCCCAATTGTATGTTCGCTCATCCACTGTGAATGCGGAAGGATGGAAATATCGGGTTTGGGTCAGGGTTTGAGTGTCAGGGTATAGGGTTTAGGATGTATAACATTAGCTAAGGCATAATATGCATGAAGAGGTTGTAATATTAGATATTTTGCTCTAGTTTCTGTCCCCATCTGCAGTTAAAATCACCTGTATATGCAACAGAACATTTCTATGTAATGTAAAATGCATCCTCTAAGGTCTAACACGTCAGTAACTTATGTCTAAGCTTAACTTCACACAGAGGATTTTTATCATGAAACAACAGACAGAGATCTGCTAATATCTAGTAATCTAGGAGTTCACATCCATGAGCACCTTTTCCATAAAAACAACAATGACAACATCAATAATAATAATCATATCTAGAAAAAGTGTAAGAAAGAGAGAAGAAAATGATTCAAGAATTTCAATATCAATTTACCTCACATACATCAGGGTCAGAGTTAAGGTTAGGGTTAAGTTAGGGTTGAGTTAACCCTAACCCTCACATATATCAGGTCCATTACAACTCTCAGACCTTGTTAAAACGTATTAATGACTGTCAGCAGCAATTCCCCCACCAAGTACTCACAGCTGAATCCATGTGCACTTGTCTGTGCATGTGTGTACATACAGTATGTATATAAGTGTGTAATGACTCTTCAGCAGACTGAGCCTGCAGCTTCACATTCTCCAGGTGTATAAAAATCAGGAATAGGCAGCCCAGAATGAAGAGTCACCTATGAAAAGAAACACACACAAAAATTATCGCTCATAAAAGCCTTTTGGTTTAAGTTAGTATATTAGTATATATACTTTATATATAACTTTTTGAAAACAGAAAGAAGGAAGTGTGTTGCATCATCACACAGTCCGCACAGATCTCATTACATTAGTTTTCACTAAAGTGTATTCTTTTAAGTGTATTTTTTTCTGTTACTCTCTTTAAAATGCTGAAGTGTACTAAAATGCTTGCAGTGAATTAATGAAATTAATGTTACCTGAACGTTGCGGTTGAGGCTGATGGCCGGGTAGTACATGCCCTCCAGTGTGTTGAAGGCAACGGGTCCCTGTTGCTCATCATTTATCAAAAATAACAGAATCCCACGAGAGAAATCCAGCAGCACACCCACAGTCGCTCCTTTACGTATTCCTCCATCCGTACTGAGAGAAGGAGAAAAGAAAGAGAGAATAAATGAAAGATGATGCACTGACCAAATAGAGTGCAAGACCTATAATAGACGCTCATGTTTGACTCAATAAACACATATAAAATACAAAACTATCATTTTTTATTTAAAGTGGTCATATGATGCGATTTCAATTTTTCCTTTCTCTTTGAAGTGTTACAAGCTCTTGGTGCATAAAGAAGATCTGTAAAGTTGCAAAGACTAAAGTCTCAAATCCAAAGCGATATAAAATCGACGTGTTTCAGAAAGGCGGGGCATAGAGGAGAAACAATAATGTACAGTATGTGGAAAATAATGTTTTTTTTTTACCTTAAACCGCATAAACACATTTCATTACACCAAATACACAAAATAATGTTATTTTTTAGCAACATCATATGACCCCTTTAACATTTGCATGAGCATTTCCTTTCCTCTGCATGTGAATAATATAAACCAGCAGCAGGTGGCAGTAATGCATCACATTTTTAATCTACTTGTAGTTTTGCTAATTTCCGCCACAAATTAACTACCAGTTCCATCATTCCATCATATGTATTCTGTCTACAACCCCCCCCCCCCCCCCCCCAAAC